TGCCCATTCTAACTGGTGTGAGGTGATACATCACTGTAGTTTTGATTTGCATTTTTCTGATAATTAGTGACATTGAGCAGCTTTTCATGTGCTTCCTGGTCATCTGTATGTCCTCTTTGGAGAAATGTCTATTTAGGTCTTCTGCCCATTGTTTGATTAGGTTTTTTTTTTTTAATATTGAGCTGCATGAGCGGTTTATATATGTTGGAGATTAATCCTTTGTCCGTTGATTCATTAGCAAATATTTTTTCCCATTCTGAGGGTTGTCTTTTCATCTCGTTTGTGGTTTCTTTTGCTTTGCAAAAGCTTTTAAGTTTCATTAGGTCCCATTTGTTTATTTTTGTTTTTATTTCCATTACTCTAGGAGGTGGATCAAAAAACATCTTGCTGTAATTTATGTCAAAGAGTGTTCTTCCTATGTTTTCCTCTAAGGGTTTTTTGGTGTCTGGTCTTACATTTAGGTCTTTAATCCATTTTGAGTTCATTTTTGTATATGGTGTTAGGGAGTGTTCTAATTTCATTCTTTTACATGTAGCCGTCCAGTTTTCCCAGCACCACTTATTGAAGAGGCTCTCTTTTCTCCATTGTATATCCTTGCCTCCTTTGTAATAGATTAGTTGACTATAGGTGTGTGGGTTTATCTCTGGGTTTTCTATCCTGTTCCATTGATCTATATTTCTGTTTTTTGCCAGTACCATATTGTCTTGATTACTATAGCTTTGTAGTATAATCTGAATCAGGGACTCTCATTCCTCCAGCTCCGTTTTTTTCCCTCAAGACTGCTTTGGCTATTCGGGGTCTTTTGTGTCTCCATACAAATTTTAAGATTTTTTTTTTGTTCTAGTTCTCTAAAAAATGCCATTGGTAATTTGATAGGGATTGCATTGAATCTGTAGAAGCAATCCCATTTCTGAAAGAGGTGAATTCACTCTCTTGAACAGGTATGTGTTTTTCCATATTCAATTCAGCATTATTCACAATAACCAAGACATAGAAACAACCTAAGTTTCCTTCAACAGATGAATGGATAATAAAAATGTTTTATATATATATATATATATATATATATATATATATACACATACATATACACACTCACATATATATATATAGTTGAATATTATTCAGCTATCAACAAGAAGGAAATCCTGACATTTTCAATAGTGGATGGACCTTTTAGCCATATTGTTAAGTGAAATAAGTCAAAGACACATATTCTATATTCTTACTTATATGTGAAATCTAAAAACATCAAACACATAGAAACAGAGAGTAGAATTGTGTTTGCCAAGGCCTGAGTCATGGGCAAAATACAGAGATGTTGGTCTAAGATTATAAACTTTCAGTTATAAGATGAACAGATTCTGGGGACCTAATAAATAGCATGGTGAGTATAGTTAACAATACTGTATTGTACACTTGAGAGTTGCTATGAGAGTAGAACTTTAATATTCTCACTATAACAACAACAAAATGGTAATTATGTTAGGTGAACGACATGTTAAGTAACCTTATTGTGGTAAAAAATTCACAATATATGTGTATCAAACCGCCACATTGTATACCTTAAACTTACACAATATTATTTGTCAATTTTATCTGAATATAGCTGGGTTAAGGGAAAAGAAAATATAATTTGAAGAAAATGTTGAGGGAAAATATCCCATCTACAAATAAGATTATAGCAACAGATCCAGATAGTCAGCATGAGGAGCCAAACCTTCAGGTCAGTTCTCATTTCACCCCTCACCTCTTGAAAAGTGCAAAAAGCCTGTGTTCTGGGTCTCTCATTCTTAGCTATTCTGGCTTCTTATGATCCCTTGTCCAAGATGCAATAGTTACTTGCTGTGGTTTCACCAGGATATGCACCTTAACCCTTGCTGACCTACTCATTCTTCTAAAAATGTACCTGGTCCCATTCTCTTCTATCCCCACTCACTCTCTGCCCAGTGACTGTAGCTAACCTGATAAATGAATCAGGGTAATATAATTGTAGGTGTTCAAATATGAATATACATATTAACTGTCCCAAGTAACTCCTGTGTATTTTTTTTAACATATTTCAGAAGAGAAGTGCCTTTGGGTTCACTGTTCCTTTAACCATATTCTCTGACAGCCCTACAAGATGCTTCCCTCCTGAATTCTTACAGATGTATTTTAAACCCTCAAGCCGAGGTTCTTCATTTCTCTTAATACAAAGGCACAGTAATCTGGTTGGTCTGGATCCTTCCAAAACAATATTGTTTGAAGATCTTTCCATACAGGTTAATATGGATCTACCCCATTCCCATTGACTACTGCATTATGTTCCACAGTATAACTTATACCATAGTTTACTGTCATTCCCCTTTTGATAGATGTTTAGGTTATTTATATTTTTTAATGATTATAATCAATGCTGAAATAGACATCTTTACTGTATATGCACCAACCTCTCTGTAGACACTCAAAAGTGAAATTTCAGGGACATAGAGTATTTGGTCTTTTTGGTAACAATAAACAAAGAAAAAGTTCCCTCCAGTATGACTACCATTTTTTATCTTCAGCCAGTAGTGTATAATAATTACCCATTTCCATATATTTTGCCAACACTTGTTCTTATGAAACTTGTAAATATTTTCCAGTCAAATGAGTGGAAAATTGTTCTCATTTTACTTTTTATTATTTATTTTTAAATTTTTATTGGAGTATAGTTTATTTAAAATATTGCATTAGTTTCTGCTGTACAGCTAAGTGAATCAGTTATACATATACATATATACACCCTTTCTAAGATTATTTCCCCATATAGGTCATTACAGAGTATTGAGAAGAGTTCCCTGTGCTATACAGTAGGTCCTTATTAGTTATCTATTTTATATATAGTAGCGTGTATATATGTCAATCCCAATCTCCCAATTTATCCCTCCCCCCTTTTCCCCTCTGGTAACAATGTTTGTTTTCTACATATGTGACTCTATTTCTGTTTATAAATAAGTTCATTTGTCCTATTTTTTTTTTAGATTCCACATGTAAGCAATATCATATTTGTTTTTCTCTGTCTAACTTACTTCACTCAGTATGACAATCTCTAGGTCCATTCATATTGCTGCAAATGACATTATTTTGTTATTTTTAAATTGAATTTCCATGATTAGTAGTGAGGTCAAACATCTTTTTATAGGTTTATTGCCTATATAAAATCCATCTGTGAATTGTTAATTTTTAATTCATGTTGCATTTTTAAATTATTTGTATGATTTTTATGTGTACTAGACATAAATCTTGTGTTATATGTGGCTACCTTAACTTTTTATGTTATCTTTTACTGTTTAAATGGTTTTAATTTTCAGTAATATGGAACATATATCTATTATGAGACTTAAGAGATTACTGTGTTTTTTTTTCATGCTGGTATCCCCTGTTAAGGAGTGAATTTCTTGAGAGCAGCTGTGTTTTATTCATGTCCATAGCAACCAGCAAAAAGCCTGGATTATTGGTAGCTTTTCAGTCAATGTATTTGTAGCATCGAGTTGATGATGCTTTTAACCCAAAGGGATGACAGTGACCCTCAGAATAAATAAATGAGTAAAAAGAAATTTGGGGGAAACTTATAAAGCTTGAGATTCCTTGTTTTATAATTTGTAGTAATAATACCTTTCTGTCAGCTCCAAGAAAAGTTAATCTTCAATCTGTTCTTCTAGCTCTTGGTCTAAATCTCTCACAGTATTTCTCCCTTTTACCTTTTTCCCCAGCATCTCTCTGAGAGATGAAGTTTCCCAAAGCAGAATCAGCTTCCCAGATCCCCACACAGGGGTGGTATTTGTACTGAGGTAGCTTTGAAGTTTAAAGCTGTCCCAATACCCTACTCTCTTGAATTCCTTCTCAGGAAAAAAACAATGTGGTGAAGGGAACAGGGATAGGCAGGGAAACCTTACCAGCTGAGCCTGTATCATACAGGGTGATTCTCTGTAAGATATATGCAAAAGAAGCACAGTCTCCATGCAGTCCCATTCAGGGACATGCTGAATAGATTTCCAAGAATGGGGAGGGCCTCATGTACTTAGAGAAATTATTGTGTTTAAGACAGCCCAGCTTCCTTTCTTGCCCCATGCTAGTATAAAGTAGTTTCACCATAACTTTACCCAGTTAAGGGAAGGAAAACGAAAACGATTTACTGGTGCCATGCAATGTTGTGGAAACGTAAATGAAGACAAATTCAAGATAACAGCCATGGATTCTGAAGTTTCAAATATTTTTTTATTAATAAAAAGTACAATAATCAAACGTAACAAGATTGTTTAGTTCCCAAACATACACCCTGCCTGGATGCCACAGAGGAAATGTCCCATTGAGCGAGAATGTAGTAATCTATAAGTGACCATGCTAACTGAGGCAGTTTTTGAGTATCTCCAGGGACTTAACAGGCTTGAATATGAGAGATTGCTCACAATCTTAGTCTCACAGCCATGTCGCTGGAGCAAGAACTAGTATAAAATAGAGAAAAAACAGGGTGCTGCCCTAAAGTACTGAAATAACAAGGCAGAGACATGAGTAATAAATACTAAAGCTTAATATACTGTTCTATAACTTCTTTAAACAAACAATGACAAAAAACAATCAATCATTTCACTGCAGGCTCCTTTCCCCAACACAAAAATGAACAGTCAATTTCTGGCACTGTTTTCCCACTGTGTCCTCCTGTCAAAAAACAAGGATGGACACCACTAGGGATTCTCTTCCTCTTTTTATTCAGAAATACAATGAAAACAGCACTGCATACAACATAGTTATAATGTCCAAAACAACTACTTATACTGATCCTGGGAAACATCTACTGGAAAGGAAGGAGAGTTTCTTAATAAACAAAATAGTGTCTCTCCCCCTGTCCCCAACCCACCACCAGAAAAAGAAATGGGAGGTAAAACCAGTATTTGAGAATCAAAGAAATATCCTGTCACTAGTATAAGTTCTATTCTCTTTCGTCCCACTCCCACCCCAACCACCCCACCCCACTTCCCTTCTACCTATACTGTTCAGAATATAATAAGTGTGGAAAGACAAAATGTAACTGGTGATGCTGGACTGGCCAAAGTTTGAAGGGCTGTGGGAGATTGCCTCTGTGCTTCTGACAGGGTGACATGTAATGTGGTCCAGGCAGAGTGAGGAAAGGGGAAGAATACAGCTTTTACAGCAATGGATTTTGCCTACTTATTCCTTTAGACCCTAATATGCTTTGAGTATAAAAACAGATGAGAATCTTATAGTTAGCAATGAGGAGAATGTAGGGAAAGTGAGAGGAAGAGATAATATTGCTTCCAGCGACCACTCTTCAATTATCCTTGTTACTTACTCAAATTTAGCTCTTTATCATCCAGGAAGCCTAATCTTCTCCTTTTTCTAGGGTAAATATAGAGTACTATAATTATCATCATAATGGTAATCATAATACTTTGTTGTTCATTTAAGGATCACTTGTAATTTTTGCCAACATCCATTAATGAGAATCCTCACAACAATCCTGTGAGGTAGGTATTTGGATCCCCATTTTACAGATGGGTTAACTGAGGCACAGAGAGGCGATGTGACTTGCCTAAGATCAATAAAGTGAGAGATGGGAAAATATGGAAGAGAGGTAACTTAGGGTAGCACCTCTATTGTCAGAGAGCCATATTTACCAGTGAGAAAAGACAGTGCTAAGTGTTTCTTTAAATTGGGCACACCTACTTTCTTCAGTATACCTATTTCTATATAGCTATTAACACACTAGGGAGGATCAATAATTTCCCTTGGCTTATTAAAGATTAGATCAATTCCCAATGGTTTTGCTCTTCGGAAAACCTTTTGAGGGTAGGATACACCCCAAGTTCCTGGAACTCAGGTCATCGACTCCTGAATTTTGCAGATCACTTTGTTTCAAAGAGCTGTTAGAGTTCTAAAACTGTTACTATCATGTACCTAAGCACTGTGTTCTAAGTGTTCCCACAGGTGTACAGGCTAACAATTCAGATACCACTATACAGGTACTCTGGAACTGAACAAGTAAGTAAGTAGATGGCAACGTGTGGGAGCCAGGTTTCTCACTGTTGGAGTGGAAGGTTAGAGTGAACAAAGGCAAAAGGCTAGGATAAGATGATCCATGTGGTAAGGGATTGGAGTAGGAGACATCAGTATGAACTCATGTTTAGCTTAATAAAGATATGGATGACTACATACAGAAATATTTGTAGATATGTATGTATAGATATACATGGGTTAGTGCACACACATATATTTCCTTGCTCTGTTAGCTGAGATGACTTAGAAGCAAAAATACAAGTAGCAACAAGCATACCTAATGCCCAGATCTTCATTTCTAATACAATTCTCCATTAAAAGAAACCAGGACTCCTTAAAGAAATGGTCGATTACAGGATTCGGCAAAAAAAAATATACAGGATGAGCTTGCAGCATCTTGTAGTGCTGGAAAATAAAGGTGTGCTAAAAAAAAGATGGGGGTCTGTCAAAAGAACATGGAAATCAACCCAAAAGTGTGCCCAATGACCAACGCTGGAACAATTTGAGTAACAAAATAAGTTGCATTGGACTATAACCCAAAGTACTAAATAAATATCCATGAGTCCATACTGATACAAGAAAATGATTGCATAAATAAATAAATGAGGGAGAAAAGACAACTCTACCACGCAGAATTCCAAATAATTTATGTAGATACTCACCCTCAGGCATGTAGTGCATAGCTAAGCACTCCTTAAGTGTGGGCTGCACATAGTGATTTCCTTCCAAAGGGTTTCCTTCCACCTTATGGAAGTGATTTCCTTCCACCTTATGGAAGGTGGGGTGGAATACAGAGGAGAAACCTGACAAACACTATCTCAGCCAGGTGATCAAGATTAACATCAAGGGTATAAGTCATGTTAATATGATGTGATGAAAATGGCAGTTCACCTCTGTGGTCTTCCTCCCCCAAACCCATAAGCTCAGTTTAATCATGAGAAAAACATCAGACAGATATTAATTGAGGGACCCCTTGAAACTACCAAGGTCATAGGAAACAAGGAAAGTCTGAGAAACTGTCACAACCAAGAGAAGCCTAAGGATATATGACTACTAAATGTGATGTGGTATCCTGAACAGGATGCTGGAAAAGAAAAAGGATATTAGGTAAAAACTAAGAAAATCTGAATAAAGTTTGGACTTTAATTAATAATAATGTATCAGTACTTCATTAATTGCAACAAATGTACATCTAATGAAAGATGTTAGTAATAGGGAAAACTGGGTTTGAGATATAGGGAAACTCTGTACTATCTTCAGAATTTTTCTGTAAATCTAAAACTGTCTTAAAATAAAAACTTTATTTAAAAAGAATTTAAGAATTTATTCTCACAAACCTTTCTGTCTTGCCTATAATGCACTCCACCTAATGTACTCAGCAGTTCATATTCTTCATAGTTTTTCCTGAATTTTCCAATCATAATTATCAATAGTAATGTTCAATTGCCAATCATCTACAGCTGGAGGAATTCCACTGCAATAAATTCCAAGATATTATTCAACCCTATCGATCAAGGCCATTTTCCATGCCCTAGGCAACTGTCCACATAATGGTGGTTAGCTGGTGTGAGCACAGCAAATTCAATTAATTCCAAATGCTACCTAAGAGAGACAATTATTTTCCATCTCACTGTCTATTTAGCAAAGTTCTATGTGCTTTTGGTGTGGTACAGTATTATACTGTATTCGAGTACCTGTGCCCCATGAAATACTCTTAATGAATGTTGATATATTTCTTAAAGAATATGGAAATAATTTGTAAAGATTTTATCATTATTTGGAGGGAAGAGGGCAATGAAAATAGGGTTAGAATTGTTTCCTGACCATAGACAATTAATAAAGCATTAACAAAGTCCCTCATTACTTTGCAGGAAAAAATTTGAATAAAGGCTTAGAGATACCAATATTTGGAATTCTAATTTGATTATCCTAGTTAGTACAACACTATGTTTTATAGCCTTTATTTATAAATAGATCATATGCTCCAATGCAAAAGATCCTGATGGACACAGGTCAGTTATGAACCCTGGAAAAGGAGTCTAAAATCCAAACTCTGGAGAAAATGGGTAAGCCCTTAGACTCTACTGTGAAATACCATATCAACTACTCAATTATAAGCTTAACTTATGTATGATGGCAATTCACCTTTAACAACCTGTCTTACACCTGCATAGAAGTCCCCTTTAACAGATTGGCCCTAGATATTTCCTAGTGCTTTAACAATTAGTCTACAGTGTGGAACTTGCACACTTAAAGTCAGGGTAAAACATATCAAAATAACAAGGCTAAAATAGTAAAAATCTACATATCATTTGGAAAAATACAGGTAGTCCTTAAATTTATGAGGGTTTATGGTCTGAAAAGACACTGTAACTTGAAATGAGGTAAAGCAAACCTGAGATATTATAGAAAGTGTTAGAATAGAAAAACTGTGTTCCTAATGTTATATATCAACGACCACAAGCACATTTTACTTACAATTTAGTCAACTGTAAATGATTTTGTGAGTGGTCTAAATTTTTCTGAAGCCTAACATATAAACTTGGGCAAATACTGCAACCAATCATGTAAAATTTTCTTTAATTTGGTTTAATAATGTGATCCCTGGGAGAATGGGTGTCCAGGTCTGTAAGGCCTCAAGGAAACATCTGGGGAAGGAATCTGACCCGTATTTGTCTCATCTGTAAAATATTAATGATGGGTAGGACTAGATAGCTAATAGGATCCCTTCTTGGTGCTAGAATTCTATGATTTAGTCAGACTAGGTGGCCTTGGGAAGTAATGACCTGAAGTATTCAAGAGAGACTGGTTGAATATCTGCCAAGGAAAAGGGGTACCGTATGAAGACAACCTTTTCCAGGAGAGAGGCTGTGTCCACAATTAAGTGATGCAAACCTCCCCTCCCTGACCCCAGGAGAGGAAATATGCCATGTGGAGGTAGATCTGAGGTCCAGGGCCTGGAACAGAGGGTTTTATGTCCCAGAGACTATTATAAAACATTGATTGGGTAAACAAGTGTGTATATTATGCAACATGCTATAATGGCTAAAATAAATGGCTTAGATGTTCATAGCAGTTGCAGAACATCAAATTGCTTTCTGTTTGTCAGTTTTCACTAAATGCCTCTTATAGTTCCATTTGAAACATAGGAATGCATGCTAATAATGCCATGTACTTAACACATTTTTTTCTTCCAACCCCTCATCTCTGTATAACATGGCCCCAGTGTGTCATTTCTTATCATGCAATATGCACATAACAGTTGCTTTATGTAAACAGAAGAATAAACAGTACAGTGTAGCCCCTCAAGACATTGTCTCAACAGATTGCCATTTGAATGAGACTTGTGATTATAGCACTTTTGATATCCTATCCATAAAAAGTCCTCCTCTATTTGTTTTCAGGATCATCCTGGGTCTACTTGTTCCTGTCACTGCCCAACTTACTCTCCTGGAACACTTTTTACGCTACTGGCACGTCGATGTGTGCTTTGAATTTTTGTTCAAATTTAACAAAACAAAGAATGTAATTGTGCAGCAAAATCTTTAATCCTGAAGGAGGAGGAGGAAGAAGAGGAGGAAAAGGAGAAGAACAAAAAGATCCTTTCATTCCCTTTGATGGACTAAAGAAGCAAGAAGCACCAGCACTGTCTGAAAACCAAACTGTAAGAACAAATAGGATTGGCTTTACAAAACCTTGGAGCTTGGTATGGGACTCAGCTTATTCACTGAGAATGTGCCCTATACTCAGGACCCAAATCCCTGTAAATCTTACCAGCCAACTACAATGTTATGCCCTCTTCTGTCTAGGAACTTGAAAAAAGTCAATTTAGGACACTACCAACCACTTTGATGTACTGATTCAGAAATATGATAAGAATTCTATAAAACAAGAGGAAAATAAGAACAAAAAGCAGCGTATGTTTGTTCACAGCCTTGAATTTGATTCCTGTTTTCTTATTGTAGGAAAAATGTCCTATCTCATAACAGGGACGGGAGGGGGGCAACCATGGGTGCCGCACTGGAATTCAACCCATGCGGAGGTTGAAAAAACTGGGGACTAGTCAGTGGAGAAATGAACGTGGAATATAAAGAGTCCCTATGGAAGATCAGCTATATTTTCCTCCAGTTTCGTCAGCCTGGCTCAGTGAACTGTTCCAATCCCATCCCAGAGGCAAGCTGAGTCAAAGAGGAAAAGATGGTCATGATTCCATTGCGCGCGCGCGCGCACACACACACACACACACACACACACACACACAAGAAAGAGACCAGTGCAGCTCTTCTAGTGCAGTCTGTGCCGCTCACATGGTGTCATGGCGCCGGCGGTGCAGAGACAGGTGGTCAGAGCGAGAAAAGCTACGATTGCAGTCTGTGCACCGGAAAGGCTTGATGCCTGTGTGCTTGCGGAAATGGCGGGTTAGCTCATCTGAGCGAGCAAATTTCCAGGAGCAGCCATCCCAGGTGCATTTATAAGGCTTCTCTCCTAAAAAAGGGAATATGACAAAACAAAGGGAGTCAGATAAGAGACGTTTGGATCCCGAAAAGATAACAGAGTACATAACCTTTTATAAAGTCAAAAAATTAAGCAATCACTTTAAAGACATGTTCTCTTTCACCTTTACTGAAGTCCCAAAGAGAAGCCACGATGGTTGAATGGAAAACACATAGGCTGTGCCTCAAACAGGCCTTTGCTTGAATCCTGGCTCTAGTACATAGTAGTTGTGTGACCTTAAATAAGTCACTTCTCCCTGGCTGGATCTCTGTTTTTTCATCTCTAAAGAGGGATAAAAATATCTCACAAGGTTGTATGAAACATTTTATCCTTTAAACACAGCCAATAAATGATAAAACTGGGATCAAAACCCAAATCTTTGACATTTTCCACTATACCACACGGTAGTAACTGTATTTTCTCCTCTAATAGCTCCCCAAAAATAATAGTCTAAAATAGAGCCATACACACAGGAAGAATGTGTGGTTCACTGGAATGGGTCTTCAGTTAAGACTACAGGCCTTTTTCTGTGAAAGATCAGAAACTCAGTGGCATGGAGTGGGGTGAGGAGAAGTGTCAAGTCAAACTTTTTGAAATAGTTACATGCTTGCTCAGTACCCCCAGGTTGCACCTGGGTTATATATGGAATATGTATGCTTTGGGTAGAAAACTATATGAAAAAAAAGTAATACAAAAAACATTAACACAGTATAACCCCATAATGGTGTATATGTCACATAACACATATTTATATACTCAGAATAAAGGCAATATCAACACACTTAAATATAAATTATGAGAGAAATTATTAACAGTGAGTGAATATCTGAAAAGTGAGGATGAGAATGAGAAGAGAAGAGGAGAATCAGGTGAGAAGAGGATTTTTACTTTTCACCTTCCTGTATTGTTGGAATGTTTTAAAAATCATGTAGCTGTATCTTATAATAAAAATTTAAACGTAAAAAGGTAAGACGGTATGAGCAAAAAATAAATATTAACTATGGTTAAGTTAAGATTATGGGGTTAGGGTAACGATTGTTTTCTTTTTAATGTGCTTTTCTACTTCCCATCTTCTACGATGAGCATGTATAATCTTATAATCATAAATAAGAGATAATGTAGGTATTGGGTTGGCCAAAAAGTTCGTTTGGGTTTTTCTGTAACATCTTATGGAAAAACTCGAATGAACGTTTTAGCCAACCTGTACAAAATGTATTGGTATTTTAATGGTCTTTCTTACTTTGGCTCTTTCTCCTCTTCTCCTTATAAATACTCCAGAGCATTTTATTTTATGTTGTTCTAAATTCTGGTGGCAATCTTGTTTGCATATGCTGTTTTTCAACTTACTGCTCAACACTTATCAATCCTCCTAAGTGCTTACTAATTAACTGTACAGCTTTCAAACAATGGGCAACAGAATGGAATTCACTCTGACTCACAGTTGTGGACAATACCAAGGCAACTATTTTGAGGATTAAATATGCCAATTACTGATCACTTCAATATACAGAAATTGCTGCATTAGCTGCTAAGAAGAATGAGATAGAGTTGGATGTAGTGAGACCAAAAGATGGCCAATGAAATGTTATAAAATGAAAAGAAAAAGCTACTGAATGGCTATGCACCACACACATACACACACACAGAGTAGGATCCCATTTATGTTCTCTAAACTTCTCTACCTCTGTGTCTCTGTGTCTGTCTCTCTGTTTCTCTCTCTCTCCCTCTCACACACACACACAACCCCCAAACAAAGAGAAAAGATCTGGAAGACTACACAGCAAATTACCAGTGGAAAGGAGAATGAGACTGTAGATGGTGTTTAGTGTGTAAATGGGATTTTTCAGTTTGGTCTATATAATTCCATTCCATCTCCACACCTCCAAACACTGCTATATATTTTGTTGCAATCTCTCAAGAATTTCTCCTACTTCTATCTTCTCTACAATCAAATGAAGAAAATTTGACTTGTAAAGCAGTGACACCCTGTGGTGATAAGAGCTCATTGCTAGAATACACAGATTACACAATTCAGCAAGGAGACCAATTTTTCCTATTGCAAAAGCTGTTACCTTTTATTATCATTGAACAGGCTCCTGTTTGTGCTAATGCACTTCATGTGGCACAACTCAACTCATGACCTTCATCAATACATCATCGATATTGAAGAACAAAACATACAAAGGGAAAATAATAATATAAAATGTACATATTAAGCGCTTCCCTGGTGGCACAGTGGTTGAGAGTCTGCCTGCTGATGCAGGGGACGCGGGTTGGTGCCCCGGTCCGGGAGGATCCCACATGCCGCGGAGCGGCTGGGCCCGTGAGCCATGGCCGCTGAGCCTGCGCGTCCCGACCCTGTGCTCCGCAACGGGAGAGGCCACAACAGTGAGAAGCCCGCGTACCGCAAAAAAAAAATGTACATATTAGCTATGTGACAAAGTATGATATAAGTTCCAAGGCTTAATAATCTGTGCGCTAGTGTGAAGGCATTAAGCTTGAAACATGGGTAGGTTTAGATGGGTAGAACAGTAGGTGAAAAGCAACCCAGTCAGTTGGGGGCATGGGCCGGTAGGAAGCACCATAAATGATGCATGGGGCATGGGATCAGCCATCCTGAATTCTGTAAAAATCTTTACAGAATTTCCATGAGATGGTCCCTATTACAAAGGCCAGACTAAAGAATTTGGATTTTAGCATGAAATGTAGTGACATACCAAAGAGGGGGCAGTGAGAGTAGTCTGCCTCAGATATAGGCAATAAGGGGGATGCATTGACTATAAAGAATTTTAAAACAAAATAAACTAAAATTTTGCTCTTTGTTATCATCATGTTCCAGTTGTAAGTCAATGATAAGATACTCCTTCTGGCTATGACATCTCCCACTGCCCTGTCCCTCTTGGTACACCACTGCCAGAAGGCAGTGGTTGGGGGGTGGGGGGAGTGTGCAACACTAAACACCTTTTGAACTTGAGAGTGACTTGATCAAATCTGAATGTTGAAATGATCTAGCCATGATATGCAAGATGGATTACAATGAATACAAGGCTACTGGTGTAATCTATTGTCTGGCACATACTGGTACTCAAATCATTTATTGATTTGATGAAGGAATCAATAATAAATGTCACAGAAGATTGAAGTAAATAAAATCAGAAATAAGAGAAGAGACATTACAATGGATGCCACAAAAATAAAAAGGATTATAAGGGACAATTATAAACAGTTATATGCCAAAAACTAGACAACTTATAAGAAATGGATAAATTCCTAGAAACATAACCTACAAAAACTGAATTAAAACATAGTAAGCTTGAATAGATCAATAAAAAAAAAGGAAATTGAATCAGTAATCAAAAATCTCTAAACAAAGAAAACCCCAGGACCAGAGGTCTTCACAAGTGAATTCTACATCCAAAGAAATTATACTAATTCTCCTTAAATCTTCCAAAAAATGGGAGAGGAAGGAACACTTCCAAACTCATTCCATGAGAACAGCATCACCCTGATATCAAAACCAAACAAAGCACAAGATAAGAAAACTATAGGCCAATATCCTTGATGAATATACATGCAAAAATCCTCAATAAAATCCTAGCAAACTGAATTCAACTGTACATTAAAAAGATTATAGGGGGCTTTCCTGGTGGCGCAGTGGTTGAGAGTCTGCCTGCCGATGCAGGGGACACGGGTTCGTGCCCCGGTCCGGGAAGATCACACATGCCGCGGAGCGGCTGGGCCCGTGAGCCATGGCCGCTGAGCCTGCGCATCCGGAGCCTGTGCTTCGCAACGGGAGAGGCCACGACAGTGAGAGGCCCATGTACCACAAAAAAAAAAAAAAAAGAAAAAAAGATTATACACCATGATCAAGTTGGACTTATCCCTGGGATGATGCAAGGATGGTTCGATATACTTAAATCAATGAACGTGATAAAACACATTAACAAATTTAAGAAAAAATCTGCATGATCATCTTAATAGATGGAGTAAAAGCACTTGAAAAAGTTCAGTATCCATTCATAATTAAAATGCTCAACAAAGTAGGTATATAAGAACTTACTTCAACACAAGACATACATGACAACAACTAACATCACAATCAATAGCAAAAAACTAAAAGCTTTTGTCCTAAGATCCAGCACAAGGTAAGGAAGCTGACTCTTCCCCTTTCTTTTCTTCATAGTACTGGAACTCGTAGCCATAGCATTATACAAGAAAAGGAAATAAAAGTCACCCAAGATGCTCAACATCACTAATTATTAGAGAAATGCAAATCAAAACTACAATGAGGTACTACCTCACACTGGTCAGAATGGCCATCATTAAAAAGTCTACAAACAACAAATGTTGGAGAGGATGTGGAGAAAAGGGAATCCTCCTACACTATTGGTGGGAATGTAAGTTGGTACAGCCACTATGGAAAACAGTATGGAGTTTCCTTAAAAAACTTAAAGGAAAGTTGCCATATGATCCTGCAATCCCATTCCTTGGCATATATCTGGACAAAACTAAAATTCAAAAAGATACATGCAACCCCTATGTTCATAGCAGCACTATTCATGATAGCCAAGACATGGAAACAACCTAAATGTCCATAGCCAGATGAATGGATAAAGAAGATGTGGTACATATATACAATGGAATATTACTCAGCCATAAAAAGAAATGAAATAATGCCATTTACAGCAACATGGATGGACCTGGAGATTATCATACTAAGTGAAGTAAGCAAGAGAAAGACAAATACAGTATGATATCATTTATATGTGGAATCTAAAATGTGACACAAATGAACCCATCTGTGAAACAAAAATAGATTCACAGACATAGAGATCAGACTTATGGCCAAAGGGGAGGGAGTGTCGGAGAGGGATGGATTGGGAGTTTAGTGTTAGCAGATGCAAACTATTATATATAGAGTAGATAAACAAGGTCCTACTGTATAGCACAGGGAACTATATTAAATATCCTGTGATAAACCATAATGGAAA